TGGTGAATTTTTATGGGTGTTACATTGTCAATCCCCATATAGATCTAGACATATCTTTCTAGCTCTCGCAAGATTAACGATTATAGGTATCTGGGGAATGCCAAACTTAATCAAGACCTTTAGATGAATTAACAACTAACTAACGCATTGACCTTATGTATTTATCTTTTATATTTTATCTTTTATCTTTTATCTTAATCCGTCCTATAGGGATTTCCTATAACCATCACAATATAAATATTTTATCTTATATTTGATAATTAGAACTTTTGATCTCATTACTATTTTCTATATATAAGTAGGGTACTCTACATATATATATATATATATATATATATATATATATTATATATATATATATATATATATATATATATATATATATATATATATATACCATAATTATGGTTATCTGAAAACAAGATATTTGGGCAGAGTAACAACTAAGTACAGTGCATATCCTTATATTCGACCAACATAACTTCTAGGTAATATGTTATCATAGGGATTTGGTCATTATAACAACTAAGTATGGTGCATATCCTTATATTCTACATGTCACACTTATGATGGTCAACGTCTCCCTAATCTTCGATGAATCTAGGTGTCAGGTGTGTGCGAAGAGCATGATGCGCACCTGGCGTGCACCCTTAAATCTTTTATAAAAATTCAGATCTTCCTTATATTAATTTTGGTTCTTACCCTCTTTATATATTTGTGTAGCTGTCTTCTAGTACTACAACTTTCCTTAAGGTCGCGTTGCCAAATTTTGACTTTCGTTTTTAACCCGTATTTTTTATTTTTCTAAAAATCATAACTCCTTCACACGAACTCCATTTTTTACGTTTTTCCTTTCAAAGTCCTTATCTTACGGGTTCTTATGATTTTCCTTTTTGTGACGTTATTCGAAACTCAATGGATCTCTATATCCTATACATTAATAACGTTATTAACGCGATTGGTTGTTATATTTTATAAAATCATAACTCCTCCAATCGGAGTTAGATTTTTGGAACGCTTTTGTCGTTGGGATCACTTTATTGTGTACTTTCCAAATACACTAACCATCTTAAAATTTTATATGACTTTTTGGTCAGGCATTTTCGACTCTATTATTATCATTTAACTGATCATATTTTCCTTCAATATGAAAAATTCTATCATTATCATTGGTTGATGCTAATATTTAGTAACAATCGGTGACTGAAAATTCCTAATTGTTACACAAATGGAAATGAAAGGCAAGAGCAACTTCAACTTGAATCTGATGGTCCGTTTGAAACTCCAACGTCTTATCAAGTTCTCTCCATGTTGAATGAAATGTGGTATAGTCCTCCAATTACACTTATTAGTGCTTTAAGAAAATCTAATCTACCATCACTATGGTGTTTCTTCTTTGGAGTATTCATTGGATGTCTACATGGAAGAAATTTTGCGTTTTGATAGGACAAAACTCTAGTTTTACTCTCTTCTAACCAGGCTTGTACTATCGTATGAAAGTAGATTATGCTTCTTTGTTATTTGAGGAATTTACTTCAGATGTTAATCAATCAAGAAAGGAAACTGAGATCGCAAGTGCTAGGTTTTAGAGTGTTGGGTGCAAAGTTATCCATGTATGACTTTGTAAATGGGTTGACTTTTGTAGACCCACTTGCATGTGGTCCATTAGCCTTTTGACATGAGATAGAGAGTGAGAGAGAGAGAGACATGTAAACACCTCTATATAAGGTGGGTTCATACAACTTATGGCGGTGTGCTTGAGAGATGTAAAATTGAGTGTGTAAGTGTGTGTTATTTATGTAGATTTAGATCTAGATCCTTTTTTGTGTAACACCATACATAATCGAATGCATCTCTTAAACACCGAAATCACCGTGTTTATTGTGTGTTCTCTAATTCCGCATGCCAAACCAATGTTCATAACTCACTACATTTGGTATCAGAGCGGGTCTTCGAAGATCAACATGATTTTTTTGAAGAAACGATTCTCGGTTTGGCTAAATTTGTCACAATTAGAGCATTTATGGTGAGTCTCTCTCTATGATCTCTCTAAATCTCGTTGATTCGTGCATTGCGTTCTTGAATTTTGATCGTTTTGATTCATTGGATTAAATTTGTTTCAAACCCCATTGATGATCCAATAATTTTTTTTAAGATAAAGACTAAAACCAAATCTCGTTATTGTTCATCAATCCAAAATTCAAGCCCAAACTGATTTGTGTTTACTGTTTGATATTCAAAACCCAATAAAAGGAATCTGTTACTGTTCATGCCAAAATTCTTGAGCCCATTGATCGATTAATCAGATTACTTACTGTTTGAGCCCATACATTTTTTTATGATCCGATAAATAGTTGGTTATGATTCACTATTCATTCAAGTCCATAACCTTGATCCATTAATTCAAGTATGTGATTTGCTCGTCTTGCTTCATACATCATTCGACTAATTCTAAAATCGATTCCAATCGATTACTTTTTGTTGTTCTTGTGAATCAATTACCGATTAGGTTGTTATACTTGTGAATCGATTTTATCTCAACGTCGATAATGATCAAGAAGATATCGATCCAAGTTTTTTTTGAGTTTGATGAAATTGATCAAGAAATCTCAAATTTTTGTCAAGAACATGGTTAGAACAACTGTTCGAACATATTTTGATCTACGATTTGGTGTTGGAATCCTCGATTTTCTGTTTATTGATTCTTGAATTCGAAAAGTCAATTCTAGAAAAAGTCAAAATCAATTTTTAAGCGATGAATCTGTGAATGGAAGTCTGAAATCGATAGATACTAGTTGTATTTGGGATATGGATGTCGAAATTAAGTTTAATTTGAGGATTAATATCGAAATGGGATGCTATTTTGTTCTTGATATCAAAAGTCATAACTGGTTGGTGTTCGTCACTTGAATGGGAAGGTTGATTATGATTTTGGTGTCAAGTACTGATTTGAGATGACTGTTGTTTGGGATAGATTCAATTATCGATTATCGATTGTCGATGGTCGAGTTTGGTTTTCATTTAACGATTGCAGATCTGGAGTCGATGGGTTAGGGATAAACAACGAACTGGGAAGAATTTGTTTTGATAACAAGGTATTTGGATTACGAACAGTTGAGTTATTAGTAATTTGAGTTACGAGATCGTTGTGGGATGATGTTTTCGAAGGTTTGGAATCGAGATAAAATGTCGACAGATTTCTATATGCTCGTGAATGGCTTTGATGTAGATGGTTTTGACATTGATCATGCTTTCGAAATATGGGTCTTGGATTGGAGTCAAGACTAAGAGGCATATCTTAATTTCGAAAGTTTGAATTTGGGTTTAAAATCGAAGATTTTGATTGGGAAGGTCGAAATTTTGCAAACATTTGTTACCTGGTAATGAATGAAGAAGATAACATCAAGTTTCGAAATTGAACCCTGTAGTTTTGAAAGTTTGCCAATATGTACCCAGTTTCGAAAATTTGATGATATGTTCATAAATTTCGAAATTAATACCTGATGTTTCGAAGGTTTGACAGTTTATACCCACCTTCGACATTTTGGGTGATTTTCGAAGGTCTGGAAGAAAAGAGGCAGAAATTTCGAAAGCAGTCCCTGAAGTTTCGAAAATTTTGTTGTCTATACCCAAATTCGAAAATGGGCTGATTTTCTGAGAAATTGAAGAATGTGCATTTCAGGCCCCTACAGTTAATGTGAATTGATGCTCTCTACCTAGTTTCGTAAATGAGGGAGAGTTTCGCATTTTTGGCTGTTTTGGGCGCACCGAGTCACTGAAGAATTTTGAAATTGACAATTTCTACCCATTTTTGAGAAATTTTGTCAAAGGCGGTCCGTGAACGAAGCTAAAAATTGAAGATTTTTTCGGTTTTCAGGATTGAAGCAAAAAGTTTATGCCACATGTTAAGGGGGAGTTTTGACATGAAAAATTCTGAATAGAGCACGTTATGTTTCCTTGATGGTTTTATAATCAAATTTCGATTATAAAAGGGGGTCAAATTTAAATGGAAATTCGAAGTTGAATATTTCATATTACGCGAACTTGAAGACCGAAGTGACCTTGAATTTTTGAAGTTTATGAAATGATGCGATTGGAGATTCGGAAGTGATTTCGGTTCGAGATGGGTTTGGAATTATTGAAGATTTTTGGGGTGTGTTTTTATGCTCAACTTTAGGGTGATTATTTAGTGTTTGAGAAGCTCTTGATCATTCGTTGATGCTTGGTTCGTATGGTCTCACATCCTAGCACCCAAATTGAAGAATCGTGGAAGAATTGAAGATTTGAAGTTCATCTCTACATGTGTCACGCTTGAGGCTCGGATCGCGTAGTTGCTCGATATTTGAAGATATGAAGTGGGTCATCCATTCCTAACTTTGAGGGGGAGAATGTTGGGTGCAAAGTTATCCATGTATGACTTTGTAAATGGGTTGACTTTTGTAGACCCACTTGCATTTGGTGCATTAGCCTTTTGACAAGAGGTAGAGAGTGAGAAAGAGACATGTAAACACCTCTATATAAGTTGGGTTCATACCACTTATGGAGGTGTGCTTGAGAGATGTAAAATTGAGTGTGTAAGTGTGTGTTATTTATGTAGATTTAGATCTAGATCTTTTTTTGTATAACACCATACATAATCGAATGCATCTCTTAAACACCGAAATCACCGTGTTCATTGTGTGTTCTTTAATTCTGCATGCCAAACCAATGTTCATAACTCACTACATAGAGTTTGATACTTATTGAAGCTTATAAACAAGTTGGGATTCTGGTTGCAGAAGGAGAGGAAGTAGTTGTATTTTCTCATCTTCAAATCCGAAAAAGTTTGTCTGATGATCCTGAGTTATTTCCCATTATTGGCAAGATACCATACACAATTCGTGAGTTGGTGTCTGTATCGAATTAAGTTCTAATTCGATATCATGAAATGCTTCGTGATATTTCCAAGGTACGTACTCCTAAGAATCCAAAGTCCAAATCAAAAGGGAATGTGGTAATTCATGAACCTTTTGGATGAACAACCTAATGAGATGAAGGCTGCAGGTGTGCTAAAGACAAGAACGAAGCAATTTTATAAACCAATTAATAAGAAGAAAAAGATTATTGAAGTTATTGTACTTGGTAATCCTGATGATGATGAAGCAACTAACACGAAGCACATGGATTTGTCTAAAGGACAATCTACACAATATTCTTTTCATGTGAATGCTGACGATACCGATCATATGATCAATGATTCATTCGTCAATAATACTCCACCAAGTTCACCAATAAAGGATGCCACTGTCAATAATGCATTCGTCAATAATATTCCATCAGTTAGTATACTTGGTAACCTGCATGTAACTATGCACACATCTGATGTGGACTCAAAAATCCCAACCGATAACACAACTCTCAACTCTAGTGAAACACCTTCGTAATGTATTCCTCAGGCTACAACAACTGTTACACCACCCGAGGTCTCTACTACCAAATCCATTATGTGGGAGGCTAGAAATTCAAACATCACTAAGATAACATCTAATGTGGAATCAAATGTTAACATGGGTGTGAGTTCTACAATGGAAACTTCGATAGTTCCCATCATCCGATTCTCCATTCAATGTCTCGTTGCATCATTCTCCAACTTTTGTTGGTATTCTTACACAAACTATCACTACTTAATTTATTTTCAATCTACATATCAAGGAAAGGATAGTCCTCTGACTATGGGAGAAGATGCTGACGAAGGTTTTGATTTTCGGGAACTAACGTTTGATCCTAAAGAGGAAAACGTAGGTGATGAAGCTATAATGTTTGAAATGCAATTCAATATATTGAATTTGAAGATGAATATGATGCTTCAGTTCATCAATGACGCTACTGGGGATACTTCTTCTTCTATCAACAAGGTCGAAGTTGTATCATTATTAGACTATCATGAATTAAAAGTTAAAAGCATGATGCAACGAGCAGTGACTGAACTTCATAAAAATTTTAATACTGATATGAAGACAGTTCACTTTGATCTTACTGAAGTTAAGAATGTTGTGAGGGAGCACCATGTAATCATTAAGAAGGAGTAATCTAAGTTCAAGAATTCTTTTGAACATAAGGTTAACGAACTTTATGATTTACTCAATACCAAAGTAAAGAAGGTTGATGGACTATTTCTTGGAGTCCAATTGAATGTTCATTATCTTTTGAGGGCTATGTGAACTTTGGTGTAGGATATTCGTGAGTTTAATGTGGAGTATAAAAAAGCACTTCGGAAGATGAACAAAGGTGATGAAAATGTGTTCACAATTTTTTGAGAAGTCTCTTATTACTTTCAAGGAGAAAATATCGAAGGTTGGTGTTACTTCAGGAACTTTGATATCTAAGGAGCATGCTAATAAAGTTGTTTCATGCATTGAAACCTACTTCAAGACTCAGCTTGCCCATATCTTGGATTTAGTTCTCCGACTCCCAACGAATGCTCCACGAGTTGTGAAAGTGTCGCAAGGGGAGATAGGGGATGTGGTTTGTCAAAGGGTGGAGGAGTAGAAGATAAAGGAAAATTTGTTGTGAGGGTAACTTCAACTCAAATTCCAATTTAAATACTAGTAAACTATGTACAAACAATGACAACTACATCAACATGTTCAAATCCAAATATCGAAGTTGATGTGTCGAAGCTATAGATAAAGAGAAGCTTAACAATAAATTAAAGTGGAAGCTCTTTAGTTGTTAAACATGTTGGTGATCAATTTAAAGACAAAGGAAAAGGTCTTGAACCAAATGATGCAGAAAAGAAGAAGATGAAAGAATTAGAAGCTGAGAAACTAAAACAGTTGAATAGTTTCTTAAGAAAAAGGATGAATGATCCTCCATGATTGAACAAGGAGGATGTAAACAAGGTTTGGAATTACGATCCCATAGAGTTTGTTGCATATGGAGAACTATATCAGTTTGATAAATTGCTAAAATAAAGCTTCACAATTGAAAACTCTCCAATGCTACAATTGGGTTTTCCCTTCATACCAACCATGTTTACTTTCATTTATTTTAAGCTTGCCGATAACTTCCATGAACATGAAGATGATATTTCATTATGTTTTGGGGAAAAATAAAGAGCACATATGGTATTTAGAAAAGATTATCATATTAATTTCCATCATGAAAGATTGTCGAATTATCGCTACAAGGTGGTAAGGGTAGATAATAGTGTATGTGACTTCATTATCGCTTTGTTACATGCGTCTTGTTGAACAGGAGACATGGATCATGATCAATCTCATATAGTGTTTAACTTTTTGTAAGGCCTTATACTTGTAACTCTCAACGAATAAGAGGAACAAATCCCTTATTGACTACATACACCTCTTGCATAGTTTGTATTTTATCCAACGATGGTCATTATGGCTACATAGTTACGAAAAACATTAAACAATGTCAAAGAATAATATTTCCCTGTGCGTAAGTCCCTAATATGTATCTTAAGTCAAAGAATAAAAAATAATACCTTTATCTAAACATCACTCATGACTACCATCAATGAAGTGATCTAGACACAAGTCATGTCAAGTACTTATTTTCTAATCAAGTGCCTATGGAGTTGGTAGCAACTCTTTTCTATTTTCATTTCCATGAAAATCAATCTATCCATTCATATTTTTTTTACCTCATAGGTTCTCCCACAACTATGAACGACTATCGACATTTATAATACCTATGTTATTCAAGGAGTAAACATGCTAATATGTACAATGAGTATTTAATGAAAATACTATATCCAATATAGGAAGCCATTACAATATATGTTTCTTATATTATTCCAATATAAAAATAATAAATTTAAATCAACTCTATCTAATTAGAAAAAAAAAAGTCCTATAGCACCAGCGTGACTTTCATGTTGTAGCTAATGAAAGAACTTTGTTCACTACAAGAAAATTTCAATTTAGCTACGGAAAAATTCCATAGCAAAAAGCTGAAATTTCGTAGCTAAAGTTGAATAACTACGGAATTTGGTACGCAATTTATCAATTTGAATCTGTAGTTTTATTTCTTGTAGCAAAACGTTTAGCTAAGGAATTATAATTTCGTAGCAATTTTGCTATGACAGTTTCAACGACATTTATTTCGTTGCAATTTAAGTTCCATAGCAAATTCCGTAGCTATTTTTCAGTGGCAAATTTCGTAGCTTTTTGTTTCGTAGCAAATTCCGTAGCCATCTGTTCCGTAGCAAATTTCGTAGTCGTTTGTTCTGTAGCTAATTCCGTAGCCATGTGTTCCGTAGGAAATTCCGTAGCCATCTCCTCCGTAGCAAATTACGTAGGTTTCTGTTCCGTAGCAAATTCCGTAGCCGTCTGTTCCGTAGCAAATTCTGTAGGTTTCTGTTCCGTAGGAAATTCCATAGCCGTCTGTTCCGTAGCAAATTCCATAGTTGTTTGTTCATTAACAATTTGTCCCGTAGCATTAGATTCCAAAGCAAATTCAGTATGATCAAAATATTCAACAAAATCCATATTTTCAATTATAATATTCATAAAAATATATAAAAATGTAGTAAATATAAATTTAATAGTTACATCAATTTTATAGTTATATTACAATCAACAATTTAGATTCGAACCGCCATGTACACACAAATAGCCACATATGCTCAACCAAAATGACAAAACCTGCAAAATCAATTTACAATCAACTAGATTAAAATCCAACTATTTTATTTGACATAATATTAAGAAACAAAATGAATCACCTTTTGAGAACCATCAAATCCAACATTAGTGTGGTTGTTTTTTTCTCTTTCCAAGTTGTCACATTATGCCAAAAGGATATGAAACTGTCACATGATGTCAAAAGGATTTGAAATAAAGTTGAAAAACAAATGATAATAAATTGATCATAGATACCTGAATAGTGATTATTGACTTATTTATATAACACTTGATTTTCTATTTAAAAAAAAAAAACTGATCCTGCATAATGATCTTATTATCGATATTGCTCTATGTTAGGTATCGCTGCTTTTGATCCCAAAAATGTGTATTCTCTAAAGTATCGCTAATAAATAGCAACCTAATTTCATTTATTTCTTTGTTATAGCATCCTACTTTTATTTCATCCTATTACAACATTGTAAAAATCTACCCAACTTTACACACATTAATTTTCATTGATACAATTTGGTAGCTTTTTCAAAGTATAGTGTTCTAATAAGAAAAACTTGAAAGTGCAATGCTATATCAAGCAAATAAATGGAACTGCATTGACACCAAAATCTTGTGTAAGATAAAATTTTAATATGTTGGTTCACAAATATTATAGAAATATCTTATTGAAAATTTAAGCATACTACAATACCAATGTACTTTTGTTTGCTTATCTATTTTAGCATCCTATTTTTTACTTAGAAAATTTACCTAATTGTAGCAATGTGATCTAAATGCAAATACTTTAATGAAAGTAATTGCTATTTTTTTTATTTAGGCTTAGCTCATTAAAAATTTAAAAAATAACAACTTATTTTTAGGATAAAATGGAACTATTTTCTAAAGCACAAAGCTTAAACATGATGGTTTTGTTATCACCTGGAGTGGAGTGGAGTGGAGTGGAGTGGAGTGAAACCTGAAGCAAAAAAAAAATAATAAACATGATCTCAACAAGTTGATCAAAAAGCTCAACTTGCAAATAAATACGAAAAAAGATATATGCAAATGCAACTACAAATATCAAATTGAAATAACAACTAGTAATCATCTAACCTACAATAATCTTTACTTGATCCGCTTTGATATCCATACAAAATGTGTTTGTTGGACTAAATTATGTTTCTTTTTAATCTTTACTTGTGTTATTTGTTCTTCACGACATAAGAAAATATGTAATAAATTTTTCAATGTAGAGTTCCTTAAATAAATGGAATCATGGATTAAAAAAAACTATAATACCTAATCAGAAAATGACCATGATGAGCATAACTCTTTATATGTATTATTTTGTAGGTTTGGAAATAAAAGCTGAACCAAAGTGCTAAAGAAAATCAAGGCTAAAAATAACACAAATAAAATTTAAAATATAATTATTTGTTAAAAGTATTATATCGTAAGCATTCTAACCTTAATCAAGTTAGCTGTGTTACCAAGGTTAACAGTGGAAATCCATGTGAAGGTCATTCTACTTTTCCTATTACAAAATGCAGTCAACAATGATAGAACAATTTTCAAATAACAATAAAATTAGTTTAACTTAGCACTAATATTGAACCCGAAAAATGAATGAAAAGGACCTAAATCGACACTAGAGCAGGTACTTCTTTTAATTTCAACCCTACATTTCTCTTCCTAAGAAAAAAAATAAGATATGATTATTTACCTTAAGGCTAATAATTATCCATACTTATTGACCCAAGAACTGAAGGCAAACGAATTCCATGGATTACAAGATATAATAA